TGTAATTTTGACGGATGCCCAAAATATAGAGTTTGAAGCAAGAAAGCTGAAAGATTTAAAGGCAAAAAATTATCTCTTTCAAGCTATAGAACGTTCCATATTGAAAACAATCCTTTGCAAGGACACTTCCAAGGATATATAGGACTCCATGAAGAAGAAATATGCAGGTTCAGTCAGAGTGAAGCGTGCTCAGCTTCAAACATTGAGAAGAGACTTTGAAACTCTGCAGATGAAGGATGGTGAAACCGTTACAAGCTATTTCGCTAGAACCATGGAGATATGCAACAAGATGCGTTTTATTGGTGAAAAGATGGAAGATGTAACTATTGTAGAAAAGATATTACGCTCTCTAACTCCGAAATATGACTATGTTGTTTGCTTTATTGAAGAATCAAAAGACATAAATTCATTATCCATTGATGAACTGTAAAGCTCTCTATTGGTGCATGAGCAGAAAATGAAAAGAAGTTCAAACATTGAAGAGCAAGCATTAAAAGCCTTAACTCTTCCTTCATCCTTCTCAAATTCAAGGGGGAGAGATAGAGGGAGAGGAAGAGGGAGAGGGAGAGGAAATCGGCAGAATTTCCAAAATGATCAACTGCAAAGTACAGGTGAGCCCCATGATAAATCTAATATTGAATGTTTCAAGTGTCATAAATATGGGCATTATCGCTCTGAATGTCGCACGAAATTGCCAAAAGACAAAAGAAAGGAAGAGAAATCGAATTTTGTCGAAGAAGCTGAAACAGAAATGGTATTGATGGCTTATCAAGCGAATAAGGAAACAGAATCTAATGTCTGGTATGTGGATACAGCTTGCAGTAATCACATGTGCAGTAGTAGGTCTTCTTTTGTTAATTTAAATGAAAATTTCTTTACTACTGTAAGTTTTGGTGATTCTTTTACTGTGAATGTGATGGGCAAAGGTGATATTTCTTTAAGAACCATGAATGGTTTTGTAGAGATAATTTCTGATGTTTATTTTGGTCCTGCCATGACAATCAATTTATTGAGTGTTGGCTAGTTACAGGAAAAGGGTTATGAAATAACCGTGCGAAATAAAATTTGTGAGATTTATGACCCCAAAAGAGGAGCAATTGCTAGCGTCAAGATGAGTTCAAATAGGCTATTTCCATTGAAGATTCAAAAAATTCAAACATGCCTCATTGCTAGAGTCAAAGAACCTTCATGGCTTTGTCGTTATGGCCATTTGAATTTTAGTGGCTTAAAAACTCTACAAAACAGAAATATGGTGACAGGCCTTCTTGAAATCACTGTTCCTGCTGAAGTTTGTGAAGAGTGTGTTGTTAGCAAACAACCCCGCTCACAATTTCCAAAAGGCCAGTCATGGAGAGCAAAGAATGCACTAGAATTGATACATTTAGACATTTGCGGGCCAATCAACCCAACGTCAAATGGAGGTAAAAGGTACTTGATAACCTTTATTGATGATTGCACTCGAAAAATTTGGGTTTATTTTTTGAAAAAAAAAATCAGAAGCTCTTGATGTGTTTAGAAATTTCAAAGCACATGTGGAGAATGAAACAGAAAAGTCCATCAAAACGATTCGTACTGATCGTGGTGGAGAGTATTGCTCCAAAGAATTTGAAAGTTTTTGCGCCAAACATGGCATTCGGAGGGAACTCACGTTTGCGCCAAACATGGCATTCGGAGGGAACTCACGGCAGCGTTTACACCTCAGCAGAATGGTGTATCCGAACGCAAAAACAGAACAATTCTTAATGTGGTGAGAAGCTTGCTAACAAAAGGAAATGTTCCAAAGTCATTTTGGCCAGAAGCTGTAAATTGGGCTGTTCATGTGCTGAATAGAAGTCCAACTTTTGCGGTTCGAAACATGACACCTGAAGAAGCTTTTTATGGACGAAAACCAACTGTTGATCATTTTAGGATTTTTGGTTGCATTGCATATGCACATGTTCCAGATGAGAAAAGGAAGAAGCTGGATGATAAAAGTGAAATATGTATTTTTATGGGTGTAAGTGCAAATTCCAAAGCATATAAATTGTTTAATCCTCTCACTAATAAAATTGTAATTAGCAGAGATGTAGTATTTGATGAGGAAAATGTTTGGAATTGGAATGAAAGTGGTAAAAAGCAGCAGCTTATACCTATGAACTTAGATGAAATTGAAGGAAATATAAATTGGAAGGAAATATTAGAGCAACAGGAAATCTTCTACAATGGAGCAATCAGAGCAACAAGAATTCTCTACAAAATAGCCAACCAAATTACAAATTTCTGGACACTTCTACCTCCTGTAATTGTGAATGTATTTTTATGGGTGTAAGTGCAAATTCCAAAGCATATAAATTGTTTAATCCTCTCACTAATAAAATTGTAATTAGCAGAGATGTAGTATTTGATGAGGAAAATGTTTGGAATTGGAATGAAAGTGGTAAAAAGCAGCAGCTTATACCTATGAACTTAGATGAAATTGAAGGAAATATAGAGCAACAGGAAATCTCTACAATGGAGCAATCAGAGCAACAAGAAATCTCTACAATGGAGCAACAATTACAAATTTCTGGTGACACTTCTACTCCTGTAATTGTTGACCAGCCCCGTACAAGAAGGAAACCAACATGGATGGAGGATTATGTAAGTGGAGATGAATTATCTAATGAATATTCTTTTTCTTATTTTGCTCTTTTTGCAGATTGTGATCCCCTCACATTCCATGATGCTATCAAAGATTCAAAATGGCGAAATGCTATGGATGAGGAGATAAAATCAATAGAAAAGAATAACACTTGGGATTTGGTAGAACTTCTAAAAGGGCAAAAATCCATTGAGTAAAATGGATTTTCAAAAGAAAGTTGAATAAAAATGGTGAAGTTAACAAGTATAAAGCTCGCCTTGTTGTGAAGGGATACAGTCAAGAATTTGGAGTTGATTACAAAGAAGTGTTTGCTCCCGTTGCAAGGCTTGACACAATTCGGCTAGTCTTAGCTATGGCTGCTCAAAATTCATGGTCTATCTATCAATTAGATGTGAAGTCAGCCTTCTTACATGGTGAACTGAAAGAAGAGGTGTACATTGATCAACCCCTTGGGTATATGCTGAAAGGCAAGAAGAACAAGGTATATAAACTTAAAAAGGCGTTATACGGATTAAAACAGGCACCTAGAGCCTGGTATAGTCATATAGACGCTTATTTCTCAAAAGAAGGTTTTCAGAAATGTCCTCATGAACACACTCTGTTTTTGAAGCTTGAAAAAAATGGAAAAATGCTTATTGTGTGTCTTTATGTTGATGACCTTATTTATACCGGGAACGATAAAGGAATGTTTGAAGAATTTAAAAGGAAGATGATGAATGAATTTGAAATGTCTGATTTGGGATTAATGCATTTTTATCTCGGTATCGAAATTATGCAATCATCTGCTAGTATTTTTATATCGCAAAAGAAATATGCACTTGAGATTTTGGACAGGTTTAACATGAAGGATTGCAATTCTGTTTTCACCCCTGTTGAATGTGGCTTGAAGTTAAGGAGAAATGATGTAGCAGAAAAAGTATATGCAACTCTTTACAAGCAGATGGTAAGGAGTTTGATGTATTTAACTTCAACAAGACCTGACATCTTGCATGGTGTTAGTCTAATAAGCCGTTATATGGAGAATCCAACTGAAACACATTTTCTGGCAGCAAAACGAATTCTTCGTTATTTAAAAGGAACGGTTGATTTTGGAATTCTTTATAAAAGGGGGGGTAAAAGAAAATTTATATGGCTTTTGTGACAGCGACTATGCAGGAGATCTCGATGATCGGAAAAGTACGTCAGGTTTTGTGTTCATAATGAGTTCAAGAGCTATTTCTTGGTCTTCAAAGAAACAGCAAATTGCTACCTTGTCCACCACAGAAGCTGAATTTATTTCAGCAGCAACATGTTCCTGTCAAGTCATATGGTTGAGAAGGTTGCTAGAGATGCTTCAATGCCAGCAGCAAGGTCCAACAAAAGTCTTCTGTGATAATGTTTCAGCTATCAAGATTTCAAAAAATCCTGTTTTGCACGGCAGGAGCAAACATATAGATGTTCGTTACCATTTTTTGCGTGATCTCTGCAATAATGGTACAATTGATTTATTGTTTTGTAAAGGTGAAGATCAAGTAGCTGACATTATGACAAAGCCACTTAAGCAAGCAGCATTTGTGAAGTTAAGAAAGCTTCTAGGAGTGTGTTCTGCAGATCAAACTTTTACCTAAACTGGATGTTTGCAAACATTAGTTTAAGGGAGTGTTTGTTGAATGATTAGTCAAAAGTTTAGTTGTTGAGATTTTACCCTGATTTTTAGTTAGTTTGTTGCTTTATTTTCTGCTTAGTTGAGCAGTAATGCTGCATATATTTTGCTATTTCAGTTGTTTTATTTGCCTATTTAAAGGCCACTTTCTGATTCAATAAATAGATCATTTCTTCATCAATTCCTTTCTGTCTTTTTTGTGCTTAGCTCTTATCAAAATTTTCATTTTTTTTTTCCAATAACATATTAGAATTGAATTAGTGTATGGAAGTTCATACTCAGGATATGAACGGTGGCGGATCCAAATTCTAATAGGAGGGATCAATTGATCCTTGTTTTTTAGGATTTTTTAATATATGTATTTAGTTAAATTAATCTATAAAATTCAACTTATTTATATTTTTTCCCTTTTTTAAAAAATTATATATTAATTCGGAAAAAATATTTCTAAATTCTGCTGGATGAGAATAAATATTTTTGGTCTTAGATGACAAGCAATAAATAGCTTGTGCGTCAAAATGCCCATACACGGCGTCGGCAGCCCTTTTTTATTTTTGTTGACAATGGGTAATTATTATTTTTCTTTTTTTTTTTTTGTTAGAAAAAAGCAACGGATAATTCGAAGCGAAAACGCTAATTATGCTCTCCTTATTCACCGCTAACTAAGCACATCTGATTATAATTAAACACCCCCCAAAAAAAAAAAAAACTATTAATTAATTAAATTTCCGTATCTATGTATATTTGCGTAACTTAAGCGTTCAAACATCTACCTCTTCTCTTACTCTCCTGATATAGAAGTAGCTTCTGCTTCTTTTACTTCCACTGGAGCACTAACACTGTAACCTCTTCTACAACTAACAGAGATCTACTCTAGAGGTTCTAGTTGAAGTGCTCCAATTACTTTTCTTTTCAGGTTTGATCCATTTCTCTTTATTTTTTAAGGCAATTTCTTTTCTGGGTTTTGTGAAATGTAGTAAGTTCATCTGATCTTTGCCTTTGGATCACACTGTTGCTTTTTTTTTTTTTTAAATATCAAGTGGTTTCCCGAAAGAATTATGAGATTGATCTTATTTGAATTGAAATTATAACTTCTGCTTAGTTTGGCCAAGTTTCTTGGATCAAAGGATGTTAGATTAAGATAGCATTCTTCACAATCTTGGTTAGGAAAGGCCGGCTTTTAAGTCTTAGTGTAGGTCTCAAGTTGAGAGAGAGTGTGTTAAGTATTTGTTTGATCTATTTGTACTGTTACCAATTCTCAGATTCGAAATTAGTCGCTTGATTTGAGCATTATTACTTGATGAGCATTCTTCACTAGATGATTTATAGTTTTATGTTAATAGATATTCTTTATTTCTTGCATATAGTGTTATCTTTTTTACTAGCATTACTTTACTCACAATTTTATTGAGAAAATGATTTATTTTTTACTATTGTCTTGATTTCATGTGTTGGGGTCCTAGTTGCAAGACAAGGTATGGGACTTGTCTTAGATCCCACATTAGAAGTATGCGATTTCAATGTGGGGTTTATATGAACTTGGGCTCTCATGCTAAATAATTAGCTCTGGAATTGATTCTTGAATTATTCCTGAAATTAATGTTGTTATTGAGCATCTTGATTGGCTATGTAGTTCAAGTATGGTCAATCAGGAGAAATTATTCAATGCATCTGGTCCATTAATAATTTAATACATAGTTCACCCTGCACTCATAAATGCATGCAATGCACCTAAAGAAAATAGATGATGGATTGCACAACTGTAAAGGTGGGTGGCAACTGGTTGTGTTGAATAATTTCTTTATCATTTGATGGATAGATTTTTTTTTTTTTTTTTTGAAGAAGTATGGTCACTCTCTCCAGTTTTAGCTTCTATACCCAAGGTTGCTGTTTCTAACAACACTGCATTCTGACAATGTGCCCCAGGGGATTGTCCTAGCTATATCATGGGCTCAAAGCATAACCCTCCTGGTAGCAGATCGCGAGGTCCTCTGTCAATATTTATCGTGTTTTGTTTGTGCTGTTTCTTTTATGTCTTGGGAGCATGGCAGAAGAGTGGTTTTGGAAAAGGAGATAGCATAGCCTTTCAGGTGACCAAGCAGACAGATTGCAAGATCTTTCCTGATCTCAACTTTGAACCACGTCACAATACTGTTGAGATTATTGAACCATCTAAGCCTAAAACTGTAGTATTCAAGCCATGTGATGTTAAATATACTGATTATACTCCATGTCAAGAACAAGACCGAGCAATGAAATTTCCACGGGAAAATATGATATACAGAGAAAGACATTGCCCACCAGAAGAAGAAAAATTGCATTGTCTTATTCCAGCACCAAAAGGGTATATGACTCCATTTCCATGGCCAAAAGGCCGTGACTATGTCCATTATGCTAATGTTCCATATAAAAGTTTGACTGTGGAGAAGGCTGTTCAGAATTGGGTGCAGTTTCAGGGTAATGTGTTCAAATTTCCAGGAGGAGGAACCATGTTCCCTCAAGGTGCAGATAAATACATTGATGAACTTGCATCAGTGATCCCAATTGCAGATGGCTCCGTCAGAACTGCTCTCGATACAGGCTGTGGGGTATGTTTCAAATTATTCTAATCTCTTTCTGATCAAAGTACCAATCAAAACATATTTATTCAAGTTTTTATGGATTCAATAGCTTGGAACTATTTGTTGTTCTTTACTTCTCCAAGTTGCAAGTCAGTATTTATTTTAAGTTTTTAACTGCAATATGTTGTTAGCTTTGGCCTTTTAGTTATACATTTATCAAAAAATTAGACATGTAGAAGGACTGATAGCTCCCTGTTGTTTAAGGCCTGATTTTAGGAATTGATAAATATGACATGGTTCATGCTTTTTATACTCGACTATTGTAGATTATGTCCTGTGCCCCTTCTTTCCTGTTTCAATAAACATAGTGTAAAACTTGTCTGATTTCACTTGATATAATATGAGCTATGTTTGTGGACTGCTCTACTGTTTTCCATTTTTATTTGGTTTTATATTTGACAACACAACAACAAGTAGAATAACAGCCAAGCCTGTATCTCAGACTTGTTGGACTTAGCTATATGAATCCTTTGTTTTTATGCGGCTATATGAATCCTTGGTTTTATCTTTGGCATGTATAAAACAAGTGACAGACTTTACATAAGCTCATATTCTTTGTTCCACCATTAGTTGTAATATGTTTTGTCTTCCTCCTCTCCGCTACTAACTCCTAATAAGAGAACATTCTCAATCAATTATGATTGTTTAAGCTTAATCTTGTTATGATTGCTGAATTACTGAATCCTATAATTATATAGGTTGCAAGCTGGGGTGCATACCTAATGAAGAGAAATGTATTAGCCATGTCCTTTGCACCACGGGACAATCACGAAGCACAGATACAATTTGCATTGGAGCGGGGAGTTCCTGCAATTATTGGGGTTCTTGGATCAATACGTCTTCCATACCCATCAAGAGCTTTTGATATGGCTCAATGCTCTCGATGTCTAATACCATGGACCTCGAATGGTAAGTGTTTCTAATATTAAAATTAATAACGTGGGATTGTTTTTGCCTTTTTATATTTAGTGTTATAAAATAAACTCAAGTGTTTTACTGAAACTAAAAATGCAAATGAAACTATCTTACTGTCAGACTGCTTACAACAATAACTATCCTCAGCAGAAACAATAAATTTGAAATGCTTTTGGTTCATGAAATGTTACAGTATATTGATTAGTGATGATCCTTAATGTCAAGTCCCAAGCAGTACGATTTAATATTCACCGCAGAAAGCCTGGTCAAAAGAATAAAATTATCTTCATTGAATGTGAACTGAATTTTTTCTTTGAAAGCAATAAACTTCTCCATAATCAACCCTTCAGTATAAACCTTAGAGCTGTTGCATGTGCCCAGCCATATTATTTATCATATAATTTTAACATTTGAAGCCTTAATTATCTGTGTCTAGAGTGATTGCATTTCTATATTTCCTCAGTATTCTGTATTCAGATTTGCAAATGACAGAATGAATAAGATGTCTCTATATTAGTTTCTTTGAAAATGGAAATATCTAGTAATTTATGCTGAGCCACTAGGTAAAAGGAATTTGTGAATTCAATTACAATTCAAAAGAAAAAAAATCAATTATGAATTGTGATAAAAATGGGATAAATTGTAGCAATATATGTGTTTGTGTCATCATAAACTAAAGCCTTAAGGATTTGATATGCAATTTCTCTTTGTTGTACATGATGCAATGCATAAATATCCATGTGCTATATATTAATGGTTATGCTTCCATTGCTTTTGTTGCTGAGTTATTATTAGGACCTTATGGATGTTATGGTGTATGTGATGGTTTTCTGTATTTTTCCCTGTTGCTATCGTAAAATATGTAGAATGTCATACAACAGTTTTCATCAGTTATAAATTTGTTTTCCTGTTCTCCTATTTGATATATTTGAAACTTGAAGGTTTAAGTTTCTTGAGGTAATTGATAAACAGGTATTTGTTATGGGGGGAAAAACTCAACTGAACTTTGAATCTTATGATAAATTTGTGATGTCAGGAAAAAGAAATTTTGGGTTAAATTTTTTTATTCCTTGTTGCCTTTCATTTCAACTTAAAAATAGTTATTAAAGACGTGCCTTACTTAAGGCTCAAGGGCTTGCTCAACAGTCCTCAGGCGGATGACTTCACTAAGGCTATCGCCTTTGGTGAGGCGTGTGCCTTTTTGGGACTTTTTTGCGAGTAAGGCTCAAGAAAGGCATGCCTTTCTTTTTTTTGTTGTCCTGAACAAGTCACCTAAGGTTTTTCAATATAAAGTTGTATTGTAGCATCTGCTTACATAAAATAAATAAATAAAAGACATAAAATGAAACACAAAACCAGTGATGTGCTTTGTGATCTAGCCTCCACTCCTTCATTTAGATTCTATATGTTCTATTTTATGATTAGGAATCTTTTTTTTTTTTTTAATTATTTTGCGCCTCACTTTGATCCAGCGCATGCCTTCGCCTTGTGCCTTGTGCCTTGCTCCTAGGCTCTAGGATCCCTTTGTGCCTTAGTGTGCCTTGCTTCTTTAATTACTTTGCACTTAACTGATTGATTTGATATTTGAATTACTTTAGTAGATTTTATGGAATAACTCCTCGGTTATCTGGTAGAAGTTTGCAACCTTTTCATCCATGAACTTCTATTTTGTATGCAGAAGGTATGTACCTAATGGAAGTTGATAGAGTACTCAGGCCTGGAGGATACTGGATTCTGTCTGGCCCTCCAATTAATTGGAAGACCTACTATCAGACCTGGAAACGGTCTAAGAGCGATCTACAGGCTGAGCAAAATAAGATTGAAGAGATTGCAGAAAGCCTTTGCTGGGAGAAAAAATATGAGAAAGGAGATATTGCTATTTGGAGAAAACGGGTTAATGACAAAAACTGCCAAAGAAAGTTTACAAGTATATGCAAATCAAATGACGCTGATGATGTCTGGTGAGTTTCCGTGCATTTTGATTTGCTTATGCATATGTAATGGCATTATAAAGAAGTTCATGGAAACTATAATAAAATGGTTCAAAGTCAATCTGCACCAAATTTTTTTCACTTCACATGTTATTTCTAGTTAAAGGACTTCCTTTCTCTTTTTTGGCCATTTTATACGTGCATAAAGTGATCTTAAAAAATTAATGTTCTGACCACTAGGGGTGAGCATTCAGTTCGGCCAATTTGGCCATTTCGATTCGGTGAATAAATGTTCGATTAAAAGTTTAGTTAAAGAAAATTAAATTTTCAGTAATTGGTTAAAGTTTCAATGAAAAGTTAATCAAACTAAATTAATCAAATTAATCAACTCTTAAAACTATGTCATTTTAGTTAAGTAGATAATAAAATTAAAAATAAAAAATAAAAAATATTTCAGTTTTTATTTTGATTAATTAGTGATTAGTAATTGTAGTTAATTTTTATTTTGGTTAAAGTCGATTAATTACAAATTTTGATTAAATTCGTTCGGTTAATTAGGTTTTTCATTTTCCTTAACTTCGGCGCAGTTGATGACCAAAATTAATTCAGCCAAAATGATTTGGATAAGTTCGGTTAATTTTAGTTTAGTAAAAAAAATTTTGGTTAATTTATTTCGATTAAAATTGTTACTCAAATTTGCTGAATTGGCCGAATGCTCACCCCTACTGGCCACGCCTGAATACTCTTATCTGTCATGTTCTGAACAAGATACCGTGCCTTCTCAAAAGGGGAAAATTGTTCCTGCCTATAACCTCTCTTGCAAATTCTACAAGTTGCTTTTCCTTTTATTTATTTTTTCCATACTAATTCCTTTTATGGTTCATTTAGGTACAAGGAAATGGAAACGTGTATAACCCCTTTCCCTGAGGTAAACAATGCAAAAGAAGTAGCAGGTGGGGAGTTAAAGAAGTTTCCAGAAAGGCTTTTTGCAGTGCCTCCTCGAATAGCTAACGGACTGGTTGATGGTGTCACAACTGAATCTTATCAAGAAGATAATCAACTTTGGAAAAAGCATGTAAAAGAATATAAAAGGATCAACAGATTGATTGGCACAACAAGATATCGGAATGTGATGGATATGAATGCTGGACTTGGGGGATTTGCAGCAGCACTTGAATCACCAAAATCTTGGGTGATGAATGTTGTGCCTACAGTTGCCAAGAACACTTTAGGTGTTATTTATGAGAGAGGTTTAGTTGGCATTTATCATGACTGGTACGTCCTTTCGAATCTCCTCCCTTTACTGCCAATGTTAATAGTGATCAGATATTGTGGTAGTACCTTCTGTTTTCTGCTATTGCAAGTCTTTTGGTCCGGTGGATGTGATAGGGATTTAATCCCAAGTCCGAGAGCTCAACACCTTGAGACTTTACGAGCTAAACTAGGAAACACACATGGCTAATGTCACATTGCTGGTGTGAAACTGGTGCAGCACTGCAGCTTGCCAATCATACTGAGCTTCAGTGAGAATTTATTGTATGAGTTTTCTTCTATAGTAGTACTGACAAAAATAAGCTTTGCTTATTGACCTTCTCAATCCCATGAAACTTGAAGTGCATACTTAGTGGAATTTCATTATTTTTGAACTTCTCTTTAGTTTTTATTCTTGCTGCTGTTGCTCTATCTATGTTTGAACTCATTGGTTTTGTGAAAGTAACTCAAGTTCAACATACAAGTTACGGAATAGGGTGTTGACTAGAAAACTATGCATGCTAATGATTAAATATAGCTCAGTCATAGCTCTAGGAAATTTCTATATCCATACCCTTTTCCGAGTGTTGATGAGGATATAAAGTGATTGTTCCCTTGATAATTCCATCTCTTGGTTCAAATGTAATTTAGAGATGAACTTGAAAGTTTTAGCATTGAAACCCCAGAAGTCATTTCTTTGAAATGTCGGTGAAATTTTCTTTTGCTGTTCTTTTCTTTCAGGTGTGAAGGATTCTCAACATACCCAAGGACATATGATCTCATCCATGCCAATGGTGTATTTAGCTTGTATCAGAACAGGTGAGAATCTAAATTTTCTTCTAATACCTTGTTTCGTTAATGAAAGTCCCAATTTTGGGGTTACTATAATGCCTTTCTTCAACTTGGAAATTTTTTTTTTTCCGACCCATCTAAGTATGACTTTTGATGGGTTTAATAACCAAAACTTGTCGCTGCTGGTAGTTTCTAATGAATATATTTGAATGCTATATCAGGTGTAAGTTTGAGGACATCCTTCTGGAAATGGATCGCATTTTGCGTCCAGAAGGGTCAGTAATATTCAGAGACGGGGTTGATGTTCTCAATGAAGTTAAGAAAATTGCAGGAGGCATGAGATGGGATATAAAACTGATGGATCACGAGGATGGGCCGCTTGTTCCAGAGAAGATTTTGGTTGCTGTCAAACAGTATTGGGTTGGCGGCGCGGGAAACAGCACGTCAAGTGATGACTAAACTGTAAGTCATTGTCTTGGAAGCAAAAAATAACGCAAATTATGTAACAGTGACCAAGTAATTAAGACGCCTTTGAACGGAATGGGATTGAAGGGCTCTGATGCTTGGAGTCAGTAAGTGTAAGTTATCAAAACGCATTCTTAGCAATGAGGAGGAAGTGTCCGCACTACCCAAGCTACAAAATATTGGATGTGAATTTGGAGGGTACAAAATTTGTATTGCATGCTATTGGCAAAATAATTAGGTCAGTTTTGAAGATTGTTATAGTAATAACAAGAACTTTGTCACTTTCAATGAAGATTGTGTTTGGTTAATTTACCACATAGCCAATGTTTTAAGAATTGTTTATTAATTTATTTGAAACATTGATTGTTCATCTTTTTCTGTTATTTATTTTCAATAGGGTAATGATCTGCTGGGAACTGTCGTGTTATAACCTCACAATTTTGGAGACAATATTAAATATATTTTCATTGCTTTTTCTTTTTCTTGGTATTTTAATTTTTAATTTTTTTGGAATCTTGTATATATGATATGATTAACATTTTATAACTTCCACAAGAGTAATATAACCAAAGAAATTTGATGAGCAATTACATGAATTGACTAATTTCATATGGTCCTGAATTAGTATATTAAATGTTTCCCTCAAAAAAAAAAAAAAAAAAAAAAAAAAAAAAGTTTCCTCAAAGAAAAAAGAAAAAAAAAAAAAAAAAAACTATATAAAAAAAAAAAAAAAAAAAAAAAAAAAAAACTATATTAAATGTCAATAAAAAATAGGGTGGTAAATGTATTATTATATAAAAATTAATGAAATAAGTGATTAGTATTATAAGCAGTTCCTATGTTTAGAGTATACTGTTATGTTTAATTTTACCTAGCAATCACTCATTTTCATTAATGTGTTGAATGATGCATTAAAAATGTCAAGTTGCTTATGTTTATGTGAATGTTATGTGATAGGGGCTTGGATGATTTGACAATAGAGTAAAAGTTAACGTGCAATGCACGTCGTGAAAAACACTATGCTTAACTAAATAGTTATCAGTACTTATCAGATCATTATATGACTTTGCAATGATAGAAGTATATTCCTACATAGACAAAGAAAAGATAAAAAGAGCATCATTAGACCAAATCATTCACACAATAAAAACTAATTTGATGTACTTACAGGATTAAGGTATGATTTGTACTCAGAATCATCAATCAATACTGTATTTGATGCATTATACTCCTTATATTTATCCCAAACTTACAAGATTATATTGATTTTACCTAGTGTTATTCTTTTACCTAGCTTTATTTCAATACCTTTTTGGAGAATGATTAGCAGCAAGGCCACGTCATAGTCAACAACGAACGGTATGAAAATCAGATTTCTATTTGCAATTACACGATTTGATTTCTATTTGCAATTACACGATTTGTTGGTTAATGTTCAAAGCAATGAATAGTCTTCTAAACTTTAGGAATTGTTTTTCAATTTTCAAGCAGCATCTTGATAATATTCTCTTTCCTCAACTTTGTATGCCCGGCTTGCCAACATGGTTATTTTTAATATGCGTCTGCATATTTTCTGCAAAAGACAGCTTCTCCAGATATCTTGCAAATTCATTCTTAAGAGCTGCAACTATTTGATTTTCTTGTTACTTAAACCATATGAGTAATGTACCAGTAGAAAAACAGAACAATGCCTTACCTAGATAGTCATCAATATTTGTTAGATTTTGGGATGATGAAAGTATATTCCTACATAGACAAGGAAAAGATAAAAAGAGCATCATTAGACTAAAATAGATCAAAATCATTAGCACAATGAAAACTAACTTGGTGTACTTATGGTATGATTTGTATTCAAAATCATCAATCAATACTGTATTTGATTCATTATACTTAAAGGATGGCAATTTGAACCGGCAGATACCCAATCCGATCCGCTCCGATTTTAACGATTCAAGTAGTATTTTTACTATCTGTGTCGGGTTCGGGTCAAGCTCGGGTTCAAGGAAGCGAGTACCCACTACCCGTTACCCGTTTAATAAATATTCAAAAAAATATATAAGCGAAGTACACATACACCGTTACCCGTTAAACTAATATCAAAAAATAATATTATATAATGATATATAATATATATAATAACACACACACTTTTGTAAGTTAATTGTTAATGGCCTATAATTATTTAAATATTTATAATTAAGTGTTTTTTATTAAGTCAATAAGATAATATTTTTTATTAAGTCAAATAAATAATTTTATAATTTTTACTTGTTTTTTATTTTAAAAATTAAAAATAAAAATATTTATAATTTTAAATGAGCAACTACAATTGAGTTTGAGATGAGTTCGGATAGAAAAAATGAATTTCTAAATGAGTTTGAGTACTTAATTTGTAATTGAGTTCATGTAGTGCATTTTAAGTGGGTATCCGATATATTGCCATCTCTAATTTTAATCCTTACATTTATCCCAAACTTACAGGATTACATTGACTTTACCTAGCTAGATTCCTTTACCTAGCTTTATTCCAATACCTTCTTGAGGATGATTGGTAGCAACACCACGTCATAGTATATAGAGAACGGTACGGAAACTGCAAACAATTTATGTTGACTTTACCTAGCTTACCTAGCTTTGTTTCTTCACCCTTTTTGCGGGTTAAGGTGTTTATGGTCAGACCAGACTTTGATATTAATCTTCCTAATGATGTTGAGAACTTCTCAATCAACGTTTTCCCATAATATACATTAAAAAGTAAAAATATAAAATAAAATTATAATACAAAATACTACAGTATCCCTTTTATTCTTTAATGTACGTTGAAATGTTGAGCTCTATAATATCTTTACTTCAATCCAATATCTACTGGTAGCAAAATGCTAAAGTATCTAAAAGCTTGGTGTAAACATAAAATATCCTTTTAAGTTTCAATGAGTAAAGATTACATACATATAAACTTATATCTAAACATATTTTGCATTTACAAAACACATTATCTATAATTACAATTACACACTGAGTTTTGATTTCTATTTACAATATCTAAACATATTTCTACATGTCAGATCTCTATTTACAATTATACGATTTGTTGGTTAATATTCAAAACAATGAACAGCCTACTAAACTTTAGAAATTGTTTTTCAATTCTCAGGAAACATCTTTGTAATATTCTCTTTTCTCAAAACTTTGTATGTCCGGCTCGCTAACATGTTTAGTTTTAATATGCGTCTGCACATGTTCTGCAAAAGCCATCTACTCCAAATATCTTTCATATTCATTCTTAAGAGCTGCAACTCTTTGGTTTTCTTGTTACTTAAACCATACAAGTAACCTACCAGTAAAAATACAGAACAATGCTTTACCTAGATAGTCATCAATATTTGTCAGATTATTATATGACTTTAGAATTGTTAGGGCCCAGCAATAAAATTACGAGAATAATAACACAGCGGAAAAATAGAAATATGACACAGATATTTACGTGGTTCACCCTTTAACTGTTAGGGCTACGCAGCGAAAAAATATAAATATGACATACAGATATTTACGTGGTTCACCCTTAATTGTTTAGGGCTACTTCCACGGGACAAACAACGAATATTTCTTCCACTATTAAAAATAGTAGGCTTACAAAGAGAGTAATACAAAAATAGTGGCACTCAAAAGTGTTTCCCAAAAATACCCCAAATTATCTGTTTCCCACAATTAATCCTGCTCAACTTATTTTGCTCTACCCGAGTTTTAGAACCAATTCTAAAACTCAATTCGTCTCAACACGTCCTCTTCTCGCTCGCTCGGAGTTGTATGTATTGGCTCTAGCACCATCTCCCTATTTATAGGAGAGTGTGGAAGCCTTGATTAGGAGAAGTGGATGCGTGATAACGCATCCACTACCAGCCGGATCACCTAGCCAGAGTCTTGCCTTTCTTTTTTTCTTTTCAAACACTGTACCCTACATTTTCTATTTTCCACACGAAAGTGGTGGGGTCTACCGCACGTTTTCCATTCTTCTCTTCTTTTTTTTTTTTCAAAATGTGGGTTTTCAAATGTGGGTCCCATTTGAGTGGGCACCGCACAACAAATCTCCCCCTGCACACTCAAGTGGGGACGTTAGCCATACCGGCTATCTTTCTGCAAATGATAAGCTTCTTCGTAGGCAAAGCCTTAGTCATCATATCAGCGCCATTATCATCAGTGTGAATCTTTTCAATCTGAAATAACTTCATCTCTAGCGCATCACGTATCCAATGATACCTCACATCAATGTGCTTTGACCTTGAATGAAAGGTCGAATTCTTGATGAGATGTATCGCGCTTTGACTATCGCATAGCAGAATGTACTTCTCTTGTTCTACACCTGGTTCTCACCCAAATTTCTGTATAGGAAATTTCTTCATCCACAAGAGCTTCTTGCTAGCTCTGTAAAAGTGGAGGGATATTATTCCATATTCCGCCTCAGTGGATGAGAGTGCAACGCATTTTTGCAATTTTGATTGCGAAGAAACTGCTGCACCTGCAAAGGTCATCAGATATCCAGAAGTTGATTTGCTCGAATTAACATCACCACCCATGTCTGCATCTGTGTAACCATCTAACACAGGTCTATTATCACCAAAACATAAGCACATTTTGGAAGTGCCCTTAAGATACCTGAGAATCCACTTTACAGCATTCCAGTGTTCTTTACCTGGATTTGAAAGAAATCGGCTAACAACACTAACAGCATGAGCAATATCTGGTCTTGTGCATACCATAGCGTACATCAAGCTGCCAACGGCGGATGCATAAGGAATCTTCTTCAGTTCTTCTTTTTCTTTCTCACTTGAAGGACATTGACTTGAGACATTGATCGACATTGATCGAGACTTAATTTGAAATGACCTGCAAGTGGAGTAGAAACTGGTTTCGCATTGCTCATGTTGAATCTGCTGAGAACTTTCTCGATATACTTTTCTTGTGACAGCCACAACTTTCTCTTTTTCCTGTCTCTGGAGATCTTCATTCCTAGTATCTGTTTTGCCGATCCCAAATCCTTCATGGCAAAGGATTTTTCAAGTTCCTTTTTCAAGCTCTCAATTTTCTTAGCATCTTGGCCCACAAGAAGCATATCATCCACATATAACAAGAGAATAATAAAGTCGCCTTCTATGAACTTTTTCACAAATACACAATGATCAGAAGTAGTTTTCTCATACCCGTAAGTAGTTTATCTCATACCCGTGATTCACCATGAAAGAGTCAAACTCTTTGTACCACTTGTCTGGGACTTGTTTGAGGCCATACAAGCTCTTCTGCAATTTACACACCAAGTGTTCTTTGCCTTTGACTCTGAACCCTTCTGGTTGCTCCATATAAATTTCCTCCTCC